CCAGTTCCCCTCCTTCTGTAAACAATTCCATTAAACATCTACAGTACTGCAAATGCCCATGCAGTATGGCTATTTCCCATTCACACTGCCATACTACTGTAGTGGAGGACATATCATGCAAGATGGCCGAAATGTAGCAACAATATTTACGATCGTGTTTACAGCCATGGCCTTGCACGGCAAAGATTACGTTTACCACTAAATCAATAACTAGACTTTCAATCCCCAAACGTAAAAATAAAATTTGTTTTCCCAACTTCAGAATGTTTTGACAAGACCCTCAAGTGGGGTGATGATGAGAGATGATTTATGTTTGAAACCAGAATCTTACCATCTTTACGGTTCCCTTCAAGGACATGAAGCAGTACAACTGGCACTAGGATACCACTCATTGATAACATTACGAATGATTTAAAGTGAGCGATTTAGTATGGTTTTACGCCGCTTTTAGCAATTTTTTACCAATATCATATTTGGGGACATCAGAAATTGGCTTCACATATTGTACCCATGTGGGAAACCGAACCCGGTATTCGGCGTGACGAGCGAACGCTTTGAATGATTTAAAGAGGGTAATTAGCCAGTAAAGTGAGTGAGTGAGTTGTGTTTAACGCCGCTTTTAACATTATTCCAGTTATATCGCGGCGTGTCAGCTTAATGTGGGAGGAAAGCCCGAAGTGATGCAGGTCTAAGACGTTTACCACTTCGGTGAAACCCACGAGCACGGGTATGGTGCTGACAAACCTAGAAACATAATTGGGGCGAACCGGGATTCGAACCCACAATCATATTAGCCAGTAAAGACAGTCATGACATTTCTCTGTGCATGTTTCAATTCTCTTAAAACAGCGTCTGTAAAACAACTGAGAAAATCCCAATAAACCATAATTTACCTATTTTACATTTTGCATTCCAGTAAATATGTCATCGTTACTGTAACAAGATTTCTATTAAATTCTCATTGACCTTCAAAAGGCGTTTGCGTTTCTTCAAAATTCGAAATCAAGGCTGACGTCAGACTGTCTGCCCCTCTTTGATTTTCACCACACTATACTTTGATTCTGATGGGTATCAACTATTTTGATCAATGTAATGTGTTTGCAGATGTTAAAAAAACGTCATAAATGCATTTTACATCAAAATAACATCACCATAGAAAATACACCCATACATGTTTTGGTACATGATGAATGTATGACGCAGGTTGGTTGGTTGGCTGGTTTGTTGTTTTACGCCGCACTCAGCAATGTTCCAGCTATATGACGGTGGTCTGTAGATAATCGAGTCTGGACCAGACAATCCAGTGATTGATATCACGAGCATCGTTCTACGCAACTGGGATCGATGACATGCATCAACCAAGTCAGCGAGCCTGACCACCCGATCCAGTTAGTCGCCTCTTACGACAAGCATAGTCACCTTTTACGGCAAGCATGGGTTGCAGAAGAGCTATTCTACCCCGGATCTTCACGGGTCAAATGACGCAGGCGTTGGGTGTTTATTAAACAATTCAGTGGCAAGATTTATATTACATATATCCATGTTAAGTCCAAACCGCCAAAGCCATAGAATTATTATCAGTCTGAGATACCTGCTTAAATAGATATGTCGTTAAAATAGATAAAAATGTTACATTTTATATAATTATACACAGGTGACTTGAATTCAAAAGACTAATGATGAGCAAATTTCGAATTTCATCGTTCACATATTTTAGCTGAAAATGGTTCGTTCACCGGCATCATTGTATTAACCTCCTTTCTTACAAGAGTCCATACACACGTTTAAGTTGACCTAACTGTCAAATTAAGTCTTTGTAAAACCATTCATTTATTCACAAACAAATCGGTTATTGTGTACATTTTTTATTTATGTCTTGCTTTGAATCCACTACAGCGTTGATGAGAATCACTTTGGAAGCACTGCTCTTCATAGCTAAACAATACTTAGTTTCTGTAAATAAGAAATGACTCGTATAACCTTCAAATAATGTTTATCAACTAATCCACAGCCACATCCACGAAAGACAACTGTGAGCTACAGTACCTCTCTGGCGTCACTAAAGCATACGGTTAACAGTAGTTAACACAACGTTAATAGTATACGTTCTATTGCATGTTGAAATCAGTATACTGGGGAAACAACACTAATAACATATTGCCCAAGGTAAAATGTTGCATATTGTTCAAACAAACCCACAAGTCCCACAAACGTGAACAAAATACCCAGCAGTAAAAATGTGTTTCGATGTAAAAGGAAACATTGACTCGATCTTGTTATTACTCTAAATGGAGTATAGATTCCATTAATCCGGGATTTTTCCTCGGGAATCGGTCCAGTGAGAGGTAAAAAGAAAGCTTTCTCAAAGAAAAATGTTTTTTTCTTTATACATGTTCACATGCATTGTTTCTTTTGTTGGAAAGATGTCCGCCTTTGCATATATTACGTTCAACGTATACCGCAAGGAAATAGTCTGTTCACCGAGGAAGTGGAAACTATAAATTTCTCTTTATAAAAGTGTTACCACATTACGGATACGCACTCATTTCAAAGGAAAAGGTTAAAATCAAGCACACAAAGTGTGGTGTAGAAAAGTGGGCGTGTTTTTCACACGACCATGTGTTTCTCCCTGTTTCGAATCGCATCAATGAATTTGAGTAAATTTATTCCCGTCTAAACATAAAAGAGATAGAGAGAGAGAGAGAGACGCTGTGATTACGAAAACCCGTCAATCGATGACGTTTAAAGTTTGCAGTTTGTTTTCTGCTAAAGTGTTGGTATATTTTCTGAAGCATGACCGGCGGCCAACAACGGTGTAAGATATACGACTCAAAACATCCTATTGCCATTGGCGGGTTTTGAGCTCTGTCAGACATCAACTAGGCACTCCTTCACGTTCACGGGTGAGTATTAAGACAGCAAACACAGTAAGTATTTTATAATCCTGCTTAGTGTTGATCCAGGAAGCTAAGTTTTATTTTTCACTTCTCCTGGGTTTTCTGAATGCGGAATTGTTACAGGGTCCTTCCAAAGGAGACCATTCATTAACGTGACCCAAGTTTTACTTATACCATTAAGTGCGGATTTTGTATGATTGGTGCGGTTTAAATGTTAGTTGCTACAATAAATGGGCTAGTCACAGTTACGTCATCGTCAGATGCCGTTAAGGGACCGACCATTGGACATTTCTGTACCAAAAGTCCCAGTCACTTCCCCCCGGAATATTACATTTCGGATTCTAAAAGATCCGTGAAGATCCGGGGTAGAATAGGTCTTCAGCAACCCATGCTTGCCGTAAAAGGCGACTATGTTTGTCGTAAAAGGCGACTAACTGGGTCGGGTGGTCAGGCTCGCTGACTTGGTTGATGCATGTCATGATATTAATCACTGGACTGTCTGGTCCAGACTCAATTATTTACAGACCACTGTCATATAGCTGGAATATTGCTGAGTGCGGCGTAAAACAACAAACCAACCAATTCTAAAAGGGTTACGGTCGCCGGTTTCCTTCGCGAAGTGTTTTGAAGACCTATTATGTTATCAGTTCTGGCATGGGTTATATCGAGTGTGAACAGCAGGTCATCATCTGTTAGGTTCCTGCTTCTGCGATAATGACATGATATAACAACATTGGCACCTGCCATGCCAACCATCAACTCTATGGACAAAATAAATAGCGTATATTTGTTAGCTATTAATATTGTGATCTTGATGGTCTGTCATCAGGTTTCCCTAGCCTCTCAAAGCCATCCAACGACCATAATGCCAATGAAGTTACCTTCGGGTCGTTTATTCTGAGACCACAATGTAAGGATTGTTCGTTCACTGTAGGGTCCAGGGCCCACTTGCACAAAGCGATCTTAGCGCTAAGATGATCGTAACCCCCATACTTTAACATAGGCTTACAACAGTCGTAGCGCTAAGATCGCTTTATGGAAGTGGGCCCAGGTCGATTATGATCTGTTTTGAATGATATTATTGGCGGGCAGTAGATCTAATTTACATGCTGTGAAAAGCAAAGCTGTTGAAGCTGATACCGGAAATAGTTTCATGATCGTAAGTTAGTTGTGTTAATAGGAAAGACATCATGTTGCACGTGTCACAGTAGAATAGATTTCCTTCACAGTTACAGAACATGTTCTTGAAAATACTTCCTTGAAGCAATGCGTCTATGTGACAACCACCGAAATGCAACTGCAAGACGGCTTTGAAACACGGTATTTCTTTCATAATATATGAAGTAATTCATCATTTATGTATCAACAAATGCTAAAGTAAGGTTTGAGGGTCATGCAGTTCCTCTCTCGGGAATAAAAGTAACGCTATCACTAGTATAACATGTCTCATGCAAAATTATTTATACATTTGAAACTTATGGAAGGTGACACAACGCGCGTGTCCCGATCTCTCTATCGCCATTTTGAATTCTTTAATGCGTAATTTGCATATAGGCTTGTCTAAACATTCACAAACTCTGTAACACGCAACACGGGATTCTGAAATCCTAACGGCATAACTATTGAATTGCATGGAATGCATACAAAATCAACAGAGACCGATTGGGCAGAACGCCAACCGCTGGACGCGCTTTCACCAATCTACTAAAATTAAATATGACTAGCGAGGCGTAGCGCCTATATACACATTGAGAACATTCAAATGTTCACAGCCGTATGGAAGTAACCTTTCACAACACGCTAGTAAGAAGATCTGACCTACATCCGGGCTTTTCCCTTAAAGCACCGCCATCCCCTTGTCATTAGCTGAGTGGCCGCACGTACCCCTGCTAAAAATAAATATTCCACTAGCCTAAACCCAATTCATCGATTTAGCAAACAGTCGGTGAAAGGTGCGTTGTTACAGCGAGGTCACAACGCTTTCTTCAGTCACTTGGGGTAACACAAAAAGCAAGTAGATAAGATATAATATTGACATGTAATTTGCAATTTAGGCCACGCCCACAGATGTGCGGGTGCCAGAACGTATCTTTTCTTCGATATGTGACGTCACTTCCTACAGCGGAACTGTCAATATTACCGCCATGGCAGTGAGCGGAGTCGAAGCAGACGAGAACTTTGACATATTTTCATGCACTTTTGTATTGATGGACGAAGTAAACTGATAAAGCTACATAATGAGGGGATCGGTAAGTTCATTTGTGTGACTCCATGAATGTATTTCGAGACTTTAGCGAGCCAGTTAGCTGCGATCACTGGCTATCGCGAAACAATGCTCGGACCGAGTCCCACTGAATGTATACTCGGGGCGGTCGTTTTGCGGCAGACTTGTTTCAACGCTTGACGACCGGTGTACGATTCTGTTGAAACTACTTGGGGTTTGGCGAGCTGTTGTAATCTGTCGTGGGATAAGGGGCGCCCGGTTTTCGAGGCTGCCTCCGCTGTGTGTTCTCTGTATATGAATGCTATTTGCATGTTTGTGGTTCACAAAGCGTATGTGTAGGGTTGTGTATCATCGCTCGGTCACGTGGATCGGTACTCGTTCTCAGAGGTAATAAAACCGCTTATTCACCACATCTATTTATGTGATTCAGTGTAAGTTATCACGATGTTATTGTTGATTGACTTTGTTTATCCAGGTAGATCTAATTAACCTACTTCCTGTATATTACCTGTGTAATGAATTATTGAGTATTCTATATTTAAGTCACATTAATTCCAACTAAAATTATTTTTTCACAACCTGGATGAATGTATTTTTCCAACTTTTTTATTATTTTGATGGAGGTGCACAAAAACAATTGTCTTGCATAATTATGTTACAAATATCATGATATTAGCTATTAATAAGTTATTTGTTTTGATTAAAAAGTGCACAAATGAGAAGGTTGTTATTTTATGCATATCAAAGCAAAATTTATTGATCAAACATATTTAAAACATGTGAAAAGTTATTTTTCTGAAATTCGTTGACTTGTCGGCTCTTATTGTATTTGTGCATAGTATTGTGGGAATGTTGATATTGTGTGACAGTGCCCATTTTGTTGATATCTGAGTATTTGCAATGTTGACATGAGATGCATTGATTTTATATGTGATGTTTTTGTCAAGTAATATATAAAAGTTAATCATTTTAATTTGGGTATATGCTAACAAGTGTTTCAAAATGTTTAGGGAATCGGTTATTTTTTTGTTATGAATAAGATGAAGAATTTAAGAAAATGCTTTTGCATGGTGCCTGCGTTTTAATGTAGATTTCTTTGTTGTTTAACTCCACACACAGCAATTTTCCAGCTATATGACGGTGGTCTGTAAATAATGGAGTCTTGCCCAGACAATCCAGTGATTGACATCATGAGCATGGATCCATGCAATTGGGATACGATGACATGAATCAGCCAAGTCAGTGAGCCGACAACCAGATCCTGTTAGTCACGATTTATGGCAAGCATGAGTTGCTGAAGACCTATTCTAACCCAGATCTTCATTTGTGTTTTAATGTAGGTACCCATGAAGATCTGGGCTAGAATAGGTCTTTAGCAACCCATGCTTACGTATAAAGGTGACTATGCTTGTTGTAAGAGGTGACTAAATGGACTTATTTCAGGCACTTGATACACTTAATTTGGCATCGATTCACATTTAAGCCCATATCAATTGTCCACATTGATCTCTCATACATATCAATAAGCAAGTACAAACTATTCTTTTAATTCCTCATAACATTCTTGGTCTTCTTTCGGGTAAGAAACTGTACAGAAAACAAGACTTACCAGTTTTTCCTTGCTGCCTGTTGTCATAATACAGTATGTAAACTTTGTTTCTTATTCTTTTCTCATACAGAAAAGTTGACTAGACTCACTGACATGTTGATGGATATTAGTCAGTTGTCCTTCTTTCCTTTATGAGCGAGCCTACGGACTCTATTCTCAGTCTAATGGTTGGGTTTTCCATACAAAATGTTGTAGGCAGTATTGAGATACTTACCGTATCGTGGCGTCTGTGTCGGGATATGTTTCATGTCGAGTGATACCTGTATAGTGACATATCTACACCCAAGGCCTGGGTTTGATTCCCCACATTGTTGCAATGTGTAAAGCCCATTTCTGGTATCCCCTGCTGAGATTTGTTGCTTTGATCATGCTAAGAGTGGGGTCAAACCCACTCACTCACTCAGAGACTTTCATAATTCAGTCAAGATGTTTATGAATTTTAGGTTTTAAGTCCTACTGCCAGAGTTAGGAACAATAAGTTTGAATGAGCCCATGCGGATTCAAGGTCTGAATACCTTACAGTGCCCAAGTACTCTTGGTTTGTTTGTTCATTTCTTGTTTATAGCCGCACTCGGAAATATTCCAGCAAAATGACGGTAGTCAGGAAATCATCGAGTCTTGACCAGACAATCCAGTGATCATGGGGATTACAAGTCTTGGTTGGTTGGGTTGGGGATGCACTCTTGGTTTGTTTGTTGTTTTGTGCCGCACTCAGCAATATTCCAGCTGTGTGACTGTGGTCTGTAAATAATCGAGTCTGGACCAGACAATCCAATATCATGAGCATCGATCTACACAATTGGGATACAGTGACATACATGATCTCATGGTACTTGTCTTAACTGTGAATTAGGTGTTTTTTCTGTTTAATCAGACTGAATGTGTGTCATCATGACCATGCAGTTTTGATTGATGGTTATATATGCAGTCAGAAACTGGTTGCCTGGCCCATATTGTGTGTCCACAGTAACTTACTCCCTGGTCTGAAAAAGTGAGTTGGGGCTTTAGCAATATTACAGCTATACCTTGGCATGGGGACACCATAAATGGGCTTTACACATTGCACCCATGTCGGGAATTGAACCTAGGCCTTCGGTGTGACGTGCTAATGCTTTAACAACAAGGTGAACCCACAGCCCCAGTCTGAAAACGACACTTGCCATGTGACGGCACTGTGCCTACAATGGATCTGTTTAGTTGACAAATCATGAAATTTTGAACAGATGTTGATACATAAAGGCCAAATTTTATTCAAATTTTTGTGTTTATGTGTTCCCACACATGAAAAGACTTTCTGCCCTCCTGCTTGTCTACAGATGTCTCATCAATCCCAACATGTTCCAGAAAATGAACCGATCTCAAAACCGTGACTGATTGTCATCCATTTCTATCAAATTATGTAGAAGAATGTCCTTCCCAACGACAAAAGTTGACAGAATCATGAAAATTGTCTAACGCCATTTGTTTCTAGCTTAATCACTGTCTGTATAAACCATTGGAAAGGTCATGTGAAAATATGTCAAAATACAACTTCAGGCTTGGTGCACAATTTGAATGATCCCGGGATGGAAATTAATGCTTGCCTGTAGACCTGAGGCTAGTAGAAATTACTCAGGGCTAATAAATTATTCTTCTACTAGTCTCTCGGACCTGAAAGTTTGTTTGCACATGCTGTAAGTATCTATTGTCTTCTCTATTAGCGGTGTTATGACCGCTACAGGGTTAGAAACTAACAGTTTTAGTCCACTAGTCCTTATAATAACAACATATAGCAAAACCCTTAAAATGGGCCAATTTCTACTGGTCCTTAGGATACCTTAACTATTGGGCAGTTAAGTAAGGACTATAGGACTAGTGCCAATTTCTAACGCTGCGCTAATTCTCTTGAACTAGCTAAAATGAAGATTTTGTGTCAATGTAATTCATGTTGTCAACCTCTGGCCTGTATTATTTTAATGCTGCCCTGCCATTGTTCAATGTTGACGAGATGTACAAGCATTCTCTTCTGTCATCCTCTTTTGTTACATCTTTCACTCGATTCAAATGTCAAAGTTACTGTCAGTGCATCACTGCTATTCACATATGAATGTAAATAATTCAAGAAGTACTGAGAAGTGAGGGAGACTTGATACATGGAGGAAGTTTGGCATGAGGAATGAAATGTCAAATGTCGGTGATATGGTTGAGTATTAGAATTGAAGAGAAATGAAGGGGTATCGTTTGTTTTTGCATCAAATACAAATGCCTCTTTGACAGAGACTTAATGAAAATAAGATATTGCAACAGTCTGTGACTTACTTCAGCCGCCATGGCCACTAGCCCAAAACCTGAGTAGTAAAATTCTGTTCCGTCTAGTAACATCAACTAATAAAATTCAATGATGCAAAGAAGTTCGGGCTAGTATACTCAAAGGTCTTTGGAACAGGCTGTTGCTAATAATATAAATATTGTCCAGTTTTTAAGTCATCTGTCTCAATGGTTTTGCAGTGTTGAATCATGTTGGATTGTCTGGCCATACTTGATTATGTTTAGACTCCTAGGATATATCTGGAATATTGATCATCGCTGTGACGTAAGATACACAATTTGTTTTGTAGATAATTAAACAGGTTAAATATTCGTAACCCATCATCTGAGTCATCAGTCCTTAAACTACAGGACCACATGGTTGGACTCGATCTCATGTAAATGAGATCTTTTACTTTGATAAGATATACAAGCCTGCAAGCATGGGGAACACGAGCAAGGACCGTCTAGTGGATAGAGCGACTGCTCAGAACGGAGTGTCGGTGGTTAAATCCCTGTCTGCGTCATACCAAACAATGTTAAAAGATGGTACTTGTTGTTTGCCTGGCATTAAAGGGATTGGGTGTCCCTTGTTAAACTTTGGCATGGTATCTCAGCGGGTTTGCACTATAAAACCGGCATTAGTGTGGACAAGTGCATGCACACACACACACAGTGACACACATGCAACCCATTCTTGCCTTAAAAGGCGACTATGCTTGTCGTAAGTGGCGACTAACGGGACGGGGGGGTCAGGCTTGCTGACTTGGTTGATGCATGTCATCATATCCCAATTGTGTGGGTCAATGTTCATGATATCAATCACTGAACTGTCTGGACCAGACTTGATTATTTCCAGACCGCCATCATATAGCTGGAATATTGCTGAGTGTGGCGTAAACAACAAGCAAACACTGTGGTACATATGGTAGGGACTTAATACTTTATATGACTTCCATATTTCCTGGCTTGTGCGTAGCAGGTTTTCAGCAACCCGTTCTTGCCGTAAAAAGCAACTATGCTTGTCGTAAGAGGCGACTATCAGTTGGTCAGGTTCGCTGACTTGGTTGATGCATGTCATTGTATCCCAATTGTGTGGATTGATGCTCATGATATCAATCACTGAATTG